GGTAGAAGCATTTGTTGCTTATTGTGGGACGCTTAGGTGGCATATTATCGATAGACTATAAGTAAAAGCAAGAGTTTGTTTATTACTTTCGAAATTAACTCATATGTATATAAAATATTTTACAAATAAGAGTCAAAATTCATAATTTTGTTAGAGAAAGTCTAAGGTAATTGTAGATCCACTATCAAATGACATTTATGTATATCAAATACGTAGACGAGCTAAAGCAAATTGGGCTCTCTGAGTGCTGCTATGTTGCAGTGCGATGTATGAGTTGCAGTGTTCCATGATCTACAGCTCAGTTGTTTGAGATCAGCATGTTCTTGCTCTGAATACTTTACCAGGGCTGAGGGATACTGAAAGCTGAAGAGAAGAGTTATGATACATTATGCGAAGTCGCTTTATGCTGGTTTCTAAAGAGACCATACAGTATACGTATTTAATGTTAATGTATTGCCAACTTATATATATATTGTTATACTTTCAGTTATATTTAATATACACATAAATAATTACTCTGCGCGCAATATGTACTAATTTATTATATTACATGTACATATGTACATAAAAGTCAATTTTAATATCATTTTATTTTCATATACATTTTTATTTACGATTTTAGCGACATGTATATTTATATATAAGAAAATAAAATGGTATTGAAATTGACAGTCATATATTTATAAATATATTAATATATATATATATATATATTCATTGATATTTGCTAGTTCTTATATACATATATATTAAATATTTATATATATTAAATATTTACGCCAGCATTTAATATGAAATTATGTAACATATATTTCTTTGAATTTTTATTTTTTAATTCCATTGCCATTTTTTTTATATATTTATTTTTATATATTTTTATTTAAATAAATAGTTTTATATATTTTCTTTATAATATATATTTATAATATTATATTTTCAACACTGAAATTCGTTTATTTTTTTCAGTTATTTATTATAATTTATTTATTATAATAAATATACACCCATAATATATAATAAATATTTATACATACATTTATTTTTTAATTATAATTGCTTTATTATTTTTTAAATAAATATGCCCATACTTTATTTATATTTTCAATTATATATTATTTATTCAATTAATTATTACATAATAATTATATTTGTTGCATGGAAGTTAGACCATTTATTATAATAAATATATACCCCGTAATTAAAATGTATTTAATATATATACACACACCTGCACTCAGCTGCACACACACCTGTCGACATACCTGCACACCCATAAAGCAGGCAGAAAAGTTCTCGCGGAATTGGCCAACGACTTCAATCAATAATTAATGCGGCTTACAGCCGTCGGCCGTCTGATCCTTTGAGTTGCAAAGCGAAGCGTGGCTGTCTCCCCTGTGTATGTGTGTGTGTGTTTGTGCATGTTGTTGAGTTTTCTTTTCCTTTGTTTTTGATTTCTGTTGCCTGTTTCAACGCCCACGCTCAGCCAGCTCGCCGAGCACTGGGAGTGAACCTTGAGTTGCTGCCGCTGTCTGTATTCGCCCCGTTTCATGGTCATAATGTGTATGCACATGGATATCGAGGAATATCGACGACTGTTTGTATCTGTATCGCAATAGCCGGACGATATCCGCATATCCTGCTGCAACAGGCTCAACTGGACATGTGCGCCAGCCCCTGGCTCCGTAGCCTTTAACGTTTCTCCCAACAGATGAATGTCTGTTAAATATTTATGAGCATCGAAATGTTGCCTCAATGCATATTATAACAAATGAAACGTCAATTTCATGCGAAAAATGCAAACAGCGTCGAGCCAGGGAGTGCACGGACAACGGACGATGGACCAGGGACCACAGACCAAGACCGGAGCTCGATGAAGCTTGTGGAAGAGGTGCTTCGATGCCACCGTTGCGGCCTTCATTGAATGCGCTCTGTGACTGTTTACCCTCTCTCACTCTCAGTCTCCCTCTCTCCCTCTCTCTCTCTCTCTCTCTCTCTCTGTGTGCGTGACATGTTTCCTTGCTCGCCGCCTCTGGCCATTTGCCTCTACTCCTAGGTGTGGGCTGTTTTTGGTGGGCGTGGCTCTAGGCAGCACGCGCTCGTTTCGTTTCTGCACAATTTCATTATGGATTTTTATGCATGTCCCCTGAGCGATATACATATGTGCCCACCTCTATATATATATTCATTTTCGCTATGATTGTGACTCTCTTTTTTTTTCCATTTGTTTTTCATGGCAAGTTGCGTAAAAATATTCAATAAACGGGAAAATTGCAGGGCGCAGCTCAAGGTAATCGAAGGTGCAAGAAAGTTAATCAATCATTTGTGAAATTAAACTGCAGTGAAGACTTATGGATTATATAAATATATACTTTAAATGGTAGGTATACCATATATATATATATTATATATAAATATATACTTGAAATCTGCTGTTGATTTAGTCGTGCTCTGCAAGTCGTTGCAGTCCACATTCCATACGTTCCAGCATTTCCTTTTCATTGTACTTTGCTGTCGGCATTGAACACTTACCACTCTGTTAGAGATCCACAAATCTGCTTATGCTCTCTCTCTCTCTCTCTCTCTCTTTCTCTCTCTCTCTCTCTCTCTCTCTCTCTCTCTCTCTCTCTTCTATTATGGCCACAGCTGTTCTAGACTTCGTATTATGCCGAAGCTCAGCTTAAGACTTTTGGATCGATGGCACTGGGCTTTATATTACGTCTGACCTTATAGTGAGTGGATTTCATTTGCTGTTTCCATTCTCTCCAGTCTTTTCTCTCTTTGCCATAAGACTGCTCAGAGATCTGATTGCTATCGTTGCTTTCTATATTATATGTTAAACTGCTGCTGATCATGATTATAATTAATAATGAAGAAAGTGGTAAGGATCATAATGATCATCTCTGTAATGATAATAATAATGATAATACTGACGATAATGAAGATAATAATAATATTATTTTTGCACTAATTTTTAGCTTTTACTAAACAATAAATAATCTCTTTGATTATTATGATATGGTAATTTTAGAATATAATTTTAGAAATATAATTTATATAATTATATAATATTAAATAATATTTAATAATTTATTATTATTAATTTAAATAAATTTTAATAAATAATTTATAATATTAAATAAATAATATTAAAACATTTATAAATTAATTTTATATAAAATAAATAATATATGCAAACGGTACTAAAGAACCTGCAGCTGCTATATTTAACTTAATGCACTCTATGCAGCTGCTCCCTTCTAAGTGCTTAGGGTATCAATTGCATCGACATCTCTGATACGTTTAATGTAATTACTCATTAAATGAATAATCTATGATAATATTATCGTTCTCATTCAACTGTCTATTGGCAGCAGTGAAATGTTATCGCTTTTAATCCTTTTGAGCGCAACTCGCCGTAAGTCGACTCGCTGGCAGTTGGCGTCTCTCTTCCTCTCCCTCTCCCTCTCTCTCTCTCTCTCTCTCTTTCGCTGCTGGCCCCAAGAAGCTGAACTCTTTTTAATAGCTGCGTCAAAAGTTGTGCAACTGCCGGGCCGCAAAACGTTTTAACTTTATGCTAATTAACTAAGCGCCACGCTCGCCGCTGCTGAACTGAGAAAATCCCTAACTAAAAACGATTAAACGTCATTAGCATTATAATAGCATCGCGACTTTGACTTTGAACGTGAACGTGGACGTGAACGCGTAGCCCCAGCTGGCATTACACCTTTGCCCTCCGCTGGCCTCCAGCTAATGAATGGCCAGTCATTCATCTTCACAGCATCAGCAGCAGCGCCAGGAGAGCAGCAGCAGTCGCAGCAGCAGCAGCAACAACAACAACAACAATAGCCAAGTCATTTAGGGTTTCATTTTAATTGTAATTAAAGCGATTATTAAGGCGCAAGTGCTCAGGAATTTTTTTCTTTGTATTTCTGCTGCACGCCGTAAGCAAGCAAAAGAAGTGCTAAACAGGGCATTTTATTACTCTATTAATTAACGGTAATTTTAAACCTAATTAAGAGTAGCGCAGCTTACATTTTATACACAGTTTCTCTACATAAAATCGACTTTTTCACATACAACTCTATGTTTGCCTTACAGGGTATTTCCTAGTCGTGTTCATCCTGCTGCTCCTTTCCATTTTAATGCTCTTAAATTCGCTGCTTAATCTCTGCTACCTGGCAGCTAGCTCATTTTCAATTTAAAAAAGTCTCAGCAACTTTTTCTATTTGCTCCACTCGACTTTTGCCAGAGAGCAAAGGCCTAAAGGCTTTTCAGTTTTCCGTTTATCGTTTTGCAGTTTTCAGGCGAGCGCAAAAATGTTTCTTCTTGCTGGGTTTCCAGTTACCAAAAAGAACAGTAAAAAAAGTTAAATTGTGACATTTTGTTGTTATTTGTGTGCTGGCGACAAAACTTGTAGCTGCCTGCTCGAGTGGGTGCCCGGGCAGGGAACTACGTTAACTCTTGTAGTTTACTTCCATTCGATATAAATTGATTTGCTTTCTCGGCAACAAATTGCAGCTCAGCCTTATGTGTGCATGGCCAGAGGCTCACTGTACATACATATATGTAATACAATAAAGGTAGACCAAATTTGGGATATTTAGAGAGGAAGTACTCTAGAGTGATGTATAATAAAGTGAAAATCTGTTGGGATTGAGTAAAGTCAGCTACATATATTACATATTTATCTTCCCTATCTTTCATTGTTTTCAATTGTTATTTTAGTACTTAATTATTATCTATGCGTATACGTATTAATTGCTCTTCCAAATATACATTAAAAAAAATTACAAATTTTAATTATATTTGTTGACAATGTTTTCTATTATCGCGTTTTAGACATATACTATGTAAGCTCATATTAATTATGTTTCCCAGTCCATTGAATAAACTCATTTGTATTAAATTTTTCATTCTTTAGCCTAGATCATAATTTTATTAATACATTAATCAAATGTCTTCTATGGCACATTCACAGACTCAATTTTGTTTTTGTTTATATATAGCCTTGACGCCTCGCATTTTACATTCAGTTCAACTGCAATGAGATAAGAAAGAAATACAGTTATATTAAAAATGTTTTATTAATATTTAAAAAAAAATACATGCTAATATCAATTTCAATCGAATCGCTGCCATTAAAGCTTTAATTAATTTTACGTCCACTAAAAACAAAAAAAAATCCAATTAATATGACATAGATCAGTTTTAATGGTCGTTCGTCTAATTAAAGATTTTTCTCTCACTCTCTCTCTCTCTCACACACACCGAATATTAGTCGTAAAAACTTTTACGACTCAAAGGAGACGCTGTAAAACCTATTCAGGCAATTAGGCAGCATGGAAAATCAAGAAGCAGGCTGTAAAGAGAGAGAGAGAGAGAGAGAGAGAGGCTCCCGAATGAAAAGCAAATATTATTATGGATGGCAAAATGCCCTTTCGGATGACAAGTGGCAAAAATGTACCGAGCTCCGTTTGAACACTTGCCCAAATAACTAGCGGGCCTCGCTCTTGCCTATGCCTGTCTATCTCTTTCTCTCCTTCTCTCTCTATCTTTCTCTGTCTGCATGTGCCCCTCACTCATTTTTTTGACATTGAAACGGTAATAGATGGAAACAACTAACCACTTGCATGACACGCTGTTAACTTGAGGTTTTTCGGCTAATGAAAGTTACGGCCATGCAGCAGCAGTAGCAGCAGCAGCAGTAGCAGCAGCAGCAGTAAAAGACAAGAGAAAACCTATTTTAGCACTGATAAATAGAAAGATATCCTGTACAGGTAATTAGATATTAAACTATAATGAAGAAATCCTTTTTTTATGTATATGTACTTGACATAAAACAAGAAAAAAAATAATAATTAAAATATATATGTTTACATATTTTATAAAAAAAAAAAAAAAATAGTATTTATATAATAATTGAAATTTTAATGCCAATAAATAAAATATAAAAGCAAGTATACCTTAAGATTTATTTTTTTATTATTATTTTATTTTACTTGTTTCTCAATCAAAAAAAAAAAATTAAATAAATAAAATAAATAAAAAAAATTAAATATAACTCTTTTTATAAAATATTAAAAAAAGGGCAATATTAAATCAAATTATAAATAATAAAAACAAAATTTAGATAAATATAAATATATGTATAGCTATTGAAAATATATTAGAAAATTAAAATTAATTAAAAATATAGGGAATTAAAATTAAATAAAAAATATAAAAAATTACAAAGTCAAATACAAATATTTATAATACATACATAAATATTTATATATTGTTTAATAAAATAAATTTAATAATAAATAATAATAATAATAAATAAATTTTAATAAATAAATTTAATAAATAAATTTAATTAAATAAATTTATACTATTGTTCAGTCATTTTGTTGAATTATTTGCTCTACTCAAAAAATGATAATTTATCCAATCAAAATATTCATTTTCAGCTGCCATAAGAATTTCGTCAGTTGCCTATTCAGTTCACTTGCTTCTGCTGCACCACCTGTTCACATGCAGCTCTTACAGGGTATGTGAAAAAAAGAGACAAAAGCGAAGAGCAAAGAATAACAGACGCCGCACACTTGACATATGTGTTGGTCTCCCCGGGGCTGCAGAGAGTGAAAAAAAAAGATGAGACGAAGTAGAACCACAGGCAGTGAGCAGAGATGGAGACAGTATACACTACTAGATATTGCAGAATCGAATGCGTCTCTGTGTATGTGTGTGTGCTGTGGATTTTACGCACTGCTAAATAAGCAATTTGCAAAATGTCCAAACCAATAACATAACAAATGACAGTGGCTCCAACAGCGTTGCGGTTAGCTGACTGGATAACTGGCTGTTGGCTGAGCTGAGCTGAGCTGGGTTGGGTTGGGTTGGGCTGGGTCTTGCCTTGGCTTGGCTTAGCTAGAATTCGTTTCGCTCTGGCTGGGATGGAAGATGGCAGCTGCAACTGCATCTGAAAGCTCAAGCAATAGCAGCATTTGGATGGCTAATGAAAATAAAGGTTAAGGCAAGCAAATGTGCAGCCATGCCACAACGTGGGGCACGTAGCAAACGCCGCACACACACACACACACACACACACACACACACACACACTGAGCACACTGAGCACACGGGGCGAGTGTGAAAGTTTTTCTTGTCAACCCCGTGTGGCTGCAAAATATTTTGGTTTGATTGGGTTGCCCATCCTAAGCAGTGGGCCAAAAGTGGTTTATTCAAATGCCAAAGCGTTTGCCCTTGGCCACTCGCAGCCACAAAGGAAAAACGGATGAAAAAATGAACAACGAAGCAGCTCAGCTTGAATGGAAATTTGCAGGTGTCAGCAATTGAGACACTTGACCAAAGAGCTTAACAGTCGCAAGGGAGTGCGAATCGTGGCACAGCTTTAAGTCGACTAAGTGTTGCCAATGCAATCAAGAATAGATATGTTGGTTACAATATAATACAAGAGAAAACCTCATAATTAGTAGGCTGATTGGATTAGCTAGTTGCTCAAGGGAAGTGCTTCCAAATTCAGTTCCCATCTCTTAAACTGAACTTTGATTCTTAAGAACTCACTCTACCTTATGCATATTCGCTCTGAAAAACTCTCAGGGCAACCGCAACAGAGGCCAAGTTTTCTTCGACTCATAAGGCTAAACTTCCTAATAGAAGCCTAAAAGCACACTCTGAATATTTAAAGTCGGGCTCCCAGCTGGGTGGGCCAGAGTAGTTTGGATGGGCCTATGCCAACGTCGACAACGTTGACAACGTCAACAGCATCAACACAACCGCAAAACATCAAACTGCGTTGCAGCAGCAGTTAGCAACGGGAGAGTGGAGCGGCAACTGCGGGGGGCAAGAGCACAGTAAGAGGAAGACCACCAGCAGAAAGGACATCTACTGCGGGAGTCTGGGCAACTTCGAGGTTACGGAGGCTAAACGCAAAGCCGTATAATTTACAGCACACCTCAATGGGCAGAGCGCGGGGGCGTAGGCCAGACAGCCGGGCGGCGATAGCGGACAGTGGGACAAAAGCAAGAGTTAACGAATGAAATTGAAGAAAATAATAAGTATGAGGAATATATAGAGAAAAGTAAAAATAAAATATTAAATCAATTTTATAATAAATTAATAAAAATTGTTAAGCGAAAAATAATAAAATAATGTCTAAAAAAAATAAATTTAAAAAAAATATAATAATAAATAATTTATAAAAAATATAATACAAATATAATAGACAATAATACATATAAATATAATTTAATATAAATTCACATAACGGCGCATTAACTAAAAATTCAGTAAATTAATGAATTTATTTATACAAGTTATATTCAGTATCAAACAGATAGAGCATAGTAGAGCCTAACGAGCATTTCATCGATTATAGGACATAATTTGCCCCACTGTGCATCAATGGGGAGTCAGCACTTTGATGCATTTGACAGCGGCAGCGATGGGGGCGTGTCTAAACACCTACACCGATGATAATGGGCCGGCGTCTGTTTATGAATGTAGCGCTGACCAGCGTGGAGTAGGGCCGAACTGACGATGGCAATGGCGATGACGATGATGACGATGACAGCACGCATAATTGGCGCTGTGCATCTTGAAGTCATGCGGAGCCGGTGCCATGGTTTTCAACTGAAGCAACAGACGTGCCGGAAATCAACTTAACACAACCGCAAAAGCGCAATCTCCTTTACTACGGGCGGCCACAATGCAGACGTCCAATAGGTTTTTGTTTCCACTCTTATTTTTTAGCCCCCCTCCCCACTCAGCCTCCCTCCCACACACGCTTGCTTGTTGCGTGTGTTGGCATTTTGGATAATTGGTGTGTCCATGTTGGCCATTGGAGCAAAGTCTGCTCTGTTCTGTCTGCCCGGACTGCCATTTCGACTCCCTGGCTGCACATTAAGAGTTGCGTTTCTGACCCCACTCTGCCCCCACCCCTCCCTCGTAAAATTGACTTAATGATGCTTCGGTGCAACGACTCCTCGACCCTCGACTGCACAGCGCCCCCCCACCCCCACCAGCTGTGGCGACATTTGCCACGCACCCAATTGGTGGTGTCCATCGGTCGGAGTCAGTTGCTCCCCGTGGTCCCATAATGATGTGGCCGACTCGTACTTTGCCTGCTTTGCATGTGCGAACTGTTGCCATGCATTTGGCAGACATGTTTTATGGCCTGTTGGCGCCTTCGAGCTTTGAACAACTTATTACCAAACACTTTTCCAAATGGATATTCTACTTAAAGAAGAGTTTGTGATCTCATCTCCCACAACCAGAACTTTATGCAAATCCAACGCAAATCAAAATCATCTGAAGTATTTTCGCTCTTCTTCATTATAAATGCAGATTCACATTGAAAGAAATCAAATAAATTACAAAACAATTCCCGTTGCTGCTGCAGCCAGCGTCAAGTGCATTAACTAAATTAAAGCCCCAGCCTTAAAATTTACACACAAAACTCAAATACAACAGGATAAGAAACGAATTTCTAGCAGCTAAACGAATGAGCAATACCCTTTAGAAAATTGTAAATTATTTTTACAATCTATCAGAAAAAAGTTATTGTAAATAATTTATTTCTGAGCAACTTTTTGGTATATAAAAATATATTTTAATTATTTTAAGAAATATTTTGTAAATTTTTACTCTAAATAATAATTTATTTTTGTTTTATTTTTTTGAATATTTAATTTACAAAAAAATAAAATAAAATAAAATAATAATAATTCGTATTTATTTTTATTTAATTGAAATTATCTAATTGGAATTTTTGATATTACATTTTTAAAGCACTTCTAGGTACGTAAAAATATATTTTATTTATTTATATATTTTATTACTTATTATTATTGTTTCTATTTAATATTTTATTTATTTAATTATTTTATTTAATGGATTTTTTTAAAATTTAATTTTATAAACGACTTGTTGGTATATAAAAATATTTTTTATACTTTTTATTTTATTGAAATTAAAATACTTCGCTATATTTATTCTATGAAAAATATTGTGCTATAATCTAAACATCCTTTC